GGTGTTGTGATGGGCATCTGAAGTCCCAGCTACTCGGGGAATTGATCACTTGAGCCCAAGAGTTTGAGGTTGCTGTGAGCTGTGATGCCAGTGCGCTCTACTGAGGGCAACATAGTTAGACTCTGTCTCAAAAAAAAAAAAGTGTGTTCAAATGGCTTGCTCATTTTAAAATCGGATTATTTGATTTTTTTCCTATTGAGTTGTTGAAGTCCTTTATATATTCTAGTTATTAATGCCTTGTCAGATAGCTGGTTTGCAAACATTTTATTCCATTCTGTGGGTTGTTTCTTCACTTTGTTGATTGTTTCCTTTGTTATTTAATTTGATCCCATTTGGACATTTTTACTTTGGCTGCCTATGCTTTGGGGATATTACTCAAGGAATCATTGCCCAAACCAATGTCCTGGAGCCTTTCCCCAATGTTTTATTTTAGTAATTTCATTTTTAGGTTTTAGATTTAAGTCTTTATTCTATTTTTATTTGACTTTTGTGTATGGTGAGAGATCAAGTCTAGTTTCATCCTTCTGCATATGGACAGCCAGTGTTCCCAGGACAATTTATTGAAGAGACAACAATTTTCCTTCCTTCCCACAAACATTAAGCACCTGTCAAGTATAAGCCAATGTGCCATGGTTACAAACAACAGCAAAAACTATGGGTAGTCCAGAGACAAATTCTCATATTCATTATTTTAGAACATTCTGCCAGAGAAGATATCTACAGATAAAGGTTGAGCTCCAGTTCAGAGAGGGGCCAAGGAAGCAGCCAACTCACTGAACAGACTTCACACTGAGTTTACTAAAGGCTTTCAGGGTCCTTGCAGTGTTTTTCAATTTTTATTTAAATTCTGAATGAATGCATGTACATAATTTTTTGTTTTACTTTATTTTGTTTTTTAGAGATGGGGCACTGCTCAGGCTGAAATGCAGTGGTGCTATCATAGCTCACTGCAGCCTGTAACTCCCGGGCTCAAGAGATCCTCCCACCTCAGCCTCCTCAGTAGCTGGGACCACAGGCATGAGTTACTCTGCCTTGCTAATTTTTTAAATTCAAGGACTTCTATTTCTGGGATATTTTTCAATATAATCCTTATTTGAAAGCTAACAGTGTTGAAATGGTTACAACAGAAGGAGGAAAGTATTCAAGATTTTTCCTGTCTGGTTGGTTCAAATTTTATCCTGCTATACATTTCTGAGATGATGGAAAATTAGACTCTGCAAATGACTTTTGCTCAGCTTGAGGTACAACATAATAGAGGATTTGACTTTACTGTTTTGGGGGGTGGGTTTTTCCCTTTTAATTGTCAAGAATGGTACAATTCTCAAGTATCTTTTTTTTTTTTTTTGAGACGGAGTCTCAAGCTGTCCCCCTGGGTAGAGTGCCATGGCATCACGCTCACAGCAACCTCCAACTTCTGGGCTCAAGCGAGTCTCCTGCCTCAGCCTCCCAAGTAGCTGGGACAACAGGCGCCCGCCACAACGCCCGGCTATTTTTTGGTTGCAGCCATCATTGTTGTTTGGCGGGTCCGGGCTGGGGATTCGAACCCGCCACCTTAGGTGTATGTGGCTGGCACCTTAGCCGCTTGAGCCACAGGTGCCGAGCCAATTCTCAAGTATCTTAAAGTGTGTTTCTGCCTATTGCTAATATTTCCTTCTAAGATCTCTGTTCTTGGAGAAGTCAGAGAATCAATTGACATTTCCATCCTTCTGGGGTCACAGGCACTGTGGGGGTGTTGGGTTATGGGTTGTGCTCTCCTCATCCCTTGAGTCCATGCAGCAATCTATACTTAGCAGCCAGCCTAGGGATGCCCTAAGGGTTTGAGTCTGGGCTGACCTTAGACAGGCTTCTAGGGTCTTATAAGTAGTTCTCTGAGGTTTGAATCAGGTCAGCTCAAAGGCTTCCCCAGGCTGGTAGACTAACCGAGGGATAGCTGAAGTCATCATACTCACTCTGGGACAGGCCTCCTCCTGGGGATTTCCTTTTATGATGGGCTAGGAAAATTACTCCTAGGAAATGAGCTTTTTAAGTACCTGAAAATTGTTTCTTTTTTTCATTTATTCTTTCTAATAACTCTTAGAAAGGGATGTTCTATTGATCAGGAATCAGGTTTAGAAAGGTTTGAATAACTTGCCCCTCATGAGATCAGAGCCTGCTTGGGCTGGTAATGTCAGCCCTTTCTGCCTTCTCTGCCCGGTCTCTGTCCTGGTCTAGGTTCCAGGATCCTTTGCTCTCTGGATTCCAGTTGCATTGGTCAATGGGAGACACGTGATTGTGGGAGGAGGTTAGAGGAGAGAGGTCAGGACATTTCTCCCCACTGCTCTACCCCTGGTGTTAGGCCATTCTGGCCATGGCAACTTCATCTCCCGTTTTATGGCCCCTCTCCAGTGCTCTAGGTCCCTTCCTTTACTCCTGTAAATTTAGGGGTGGTAACATCTCCCAGTATTGCTAATTCTTGTTTTCATTCTCTAAACTCAGTCCTCATCCCTGTAAATTACCCCTTCACTTCAAGGCTTTTCAGTTAAAATCTTTGCAAGTGGCATCTGCTTCGTCCTGGGGGCCTTTCCAATTAGCCACCTCCTTCCTGCAAAGTGTCCGCAATCCACCTAAGAACAACAACAAAAATCAGGACATGAGACATGATTTGGTAGAGAACTTCTCTAGGGCCATGCTTCTGCCCTGAACATCCTTGGACCCTCTACTTAGCCCAACCCTTGGCATAGAGTGTGTGCTTGATGAAGGTTCCTCGCAGAGGCAGAGCACTGGGGCCCAGGAGTTTCCATCCACCATGAACTCCCTCCCCCTCTTCTCCTCCCACACCACCTGCTGAGCTGTTGGCACCCGTAGGACCTGGATCACTGCTGTGCTGGCCAGCCATTTTTTTCTTATTGTGCTTCACAGAAGGAAGTTCATCCACGTGATTTTTTGCATTGCCCACAAAGGGTGGGTACAGTGTGTCCTGTGGTGAAAAGCTTGTAGGTTTTAGTCATCCCCACACTGCTGCTATTCTTGAGAATTGTCCCCTCCACTCCCACGCCACGAAAAGCCTGAAACTTTATTTATGTAGGATTGCAGTCTATATAACAACGAGCCTTGGAGAGGTGGCCATGTAGCTCCTGAATGTGTTATACTCTGGAGACCTTTTCCAAAAGGCTGCAGAGACATTATTTCGCCCAGGCGGCCATGAGTCACACGGCACCTCCAGCCCGGGTTACATCTGGGTAGGCCTGCTTTTTAAATACTCTGGGTGGGAAGCACTTTGAACCATAAAGGGACACCAAAAGACCATTGCTATGGAGACTGCGCCTCCGCTGTCCGTTTGTCTGAGTTCTCTTCCCTGACTGCTTGGCATCCCCGGGGAGTCTGCGGCTGGCAGCTTTGGGGCTGGGGCCTGGGCGCCATAGCGCGGGGAGGTAGCCCCCTGGGGACAGGAACGCTGGGCCAGATCCAGCGCAGGAGATTGCCGCCCAGGGTTGGGCACCGCCGGTGCGCAAGTTGGGGGTGGGGGTTCTCGGAGTGAGCAGCGCCCCCGCCCTCGGCTTGCGGGGACCACGTGCGAGAGCGGCGCGTGGGGCTCCGGGCGCGCAGCCGCGGCGGGTGACGGCTCGGCGTCCCCGGGGCCCTGGGTACCGGCGGGTGTCTGTGTGCGAGTCCGGGTGCGTGGAGGGGCTCCGAGCCCCCTGCCAGCTGCGACAGCGTGTGTGTGTGTGTGTGTGTGTGTGTGTGTGTGTGTGCGGCCTTGGCCCTGCGCGGGCGAGCGCGCGCGCGCCCGTGCGGGGTGTGTGTGTGAGTGTGTGACAGTGTGTGTCAGGTGACTCGGGTCACGCAGTCTCTCTCCCTCCTCCTGGAGGAACTGCCGCGCTCCGGCTGACTCCTCCGCCGGCGGGCGGGCGGGCGGGGGGCTTCAGGCGCTCCGGGAACGCGGAGGGACTGGGCGCCTCCCGCCGCGGGGAACGCGCGGCCCCCGCTTCCGCCGGCTCCCGCGGGGCTCCAGACAAAACCTCGGTTCAGAAATAGGTGCGGGCGCCCGGCGAGGAAGCTTGGCCCTCACCCGGGACCCCCAGCGCTCCTGGGACGGCCGCCAGCCGGCGCGATGAGCCAGGTGCTGGGGAAGCCGCAGCCGCAGGACGAGGACGACGAGGAGGAGGAGGAGGAAGATGAGCTGGTGGGGCTAGCGGACTACGGGGACGGGCCCGACTCTTCGGACGCCGATCGGGACAGCGGGACGGAGGAGGGGGGTGAGCGTACCGCCGCACACGCCCTGGGCTCCCCTGCCCTTCCCTCGGTGTCCTCCCTGCCTCGGCCGGGTCGGGCCGCCGATCTGCAAGGCGTCCGGGTAATCAGAGTTGAGGGATGGGGGTTGGGAGGGGCGCCAGAGGAGGGATTTGGAGCTGCAAAATGGGGGACCCCGGTGTTGGTGGCGGAGGCGTGACCGGGGTCGGAAGGGAAGGAGGAACGCGCTCTCCTGGTCCCTTGCAGAACCGGTGCCTTGCAGGCTCTCTGTTTGGAGAGGGGAGGGGACGCAGGCGCGCCTTGGGACCTCTCCTTCAACGCTGCTGTTGAAGCCCGGGTCGGATATCGAGGCTAAAAAAAGGCCGCCGGCCACAGCGTGACTGGCAGGGTCGTCGGCAGCTGCGAGTGTCAATCTGGCTCCGCGTCGCCGCGGGAGAAGTCCTGGGACTGCCCAAGTCTGCGGCTGGGGGAGGTGTATGCAGGCCCGGTGGATGCGAGAGTCGCTTGGTGGCCGCAGGTTTCTCAGGATCCAGGCAAATATTGTTAGGACACCTTATCTGCGCTCAGTGTCACCACCTGGACTGGCGGTGCGTGCCCGGGAGTGAGCGCAGGGCGGGGGAATCCTTTGCCACTAAAACAAATTCTTTCCCGTTCAAGAAATGGGTTTTAGCAGTCGTTCAGCCCGTGGGGGCTGCTGCATTTTATTCTTTTTTTTTTTTTTTTTT